AAAAGCAAGGAATTAGGTAAAAAAGTCAGTGAGCGAGAAGAGGTTGAGGGAAAAGTATTCCTTTGTAAAATAAAACTATAGCAGAAAATGATTGTTAGATAAAACAGGTAGTAAATAATTACAAAATTATTAGAGTAGAAGAGCCATTAATAGAGTAAGTTATAACTGTTAATCCACAATTAGGAGGCTTAGGAGTAGTAGATGATGAGCAATAATATATGAAATTACATTTAGACCTTAAAAGATTGGTTTTTTGGAATACATTTACAATATTTATTATTAAGATCATTTTTTATTATCATCTATTCATGCAAATTGGGTTAAGTAGACAAAAATACAAAGTGATAACATTCTTGTTATTGATAAATCCTATTCAATTTACAAAATTAAACCAACTGAAATGATGAATAACTAAAGGATTAAAAGTTAAACAAAAATAATCAAGCCGACTTAAATTATAAATAAATAAACATTACATTTCGATATCAATATATAATTGAAATTTATTTTTAAAGGTCAATAAAAAACACAATACTCCACATAGAAATGTCATCAAAGAAGGTAAAAATAATTTGTTTGTTAAACTAATAATATGAGTAGAAATTTTATTACAGGCCCTTAATAAAATTATGAGGTTCATCAACAACTTGGCTGATTTTTATTTTCATCAAAAGATATTTGATTCTTTGTTATGTTTCTTTAAAAAAAAATCTACATATTATTATAAATATTCATACCAACTACTAGAAATTTAACATAATCAAAATTAAAAAAAAGATTAATCTAATTAATCCATGTAAAAATTTTATTAGAAAAAGAAATCATAAATTTAGGCTATTTTAAAAATTAATACCAAAAATAAACATTTGTAATGGAATAAGCCATAATTTTTCTTCTTATATTCTTTATATTAATTAACAAATTCATTTAGAAATTGTGATTGTTTCATTTTAACTACTGAAGTATAATTAATTTAATATTTTTTAATCCTTCTTAAAATGAATTCTTTTTAGATTTTTAATTGTTAATTAAAACAAATAGTATTTTTTTCGTTTTTTAACTCGTTGATTTATTATCATCGATATAAAATAAAATAAAGTTAAGCTTATTTAACCAGAAAAGAATTTTAGATTTTAATTTATATATATTTTTTTAATGATTGTTTCCATAATTTTTATCCTTGTTACCTTAATTGAAATTTCGAATTCATAATGGTTATTAAAATATTCTAGCTTATATGAAGATTAATAATTCATGAATTACAATGGATCATCCTCTTCAATATATTTCAATTACTTATTATAGCCATCCAAGTATATAACAGCAAATTTTATAACTTGCACCAAACCTCCAACAAGCTATTTTACTCTCAATAGAACCTATCCATCAGCTCGCACAGATGATTCTATTGAATTGAAAAATGGTGATTTTTTTTCAGTGGATTTATATTTTCATGGTACATGGACAAATCAAACTGTTAATATTACAATAAGCTCATTTTCATACCTATATAATTATACCTCCCCTACAAATTACCTTATGAAAACTGGATTTTGTGATGACATAGCTTATGAAGTTAGAACTGTCTATTTTAAGATTCAACTGCCAAATTCATAATCAGGTTATTACTACTTTACCTCGTCAAATACAAATAATGGTTAAGTTTCAATTAGAAATATATTTATTTCAACTCTTTAATGTTACCCATCATGTAAATAATGCACAGGGCCAAAATTCAATTAATGTACTAGTTGTTATAATGGATTAACTACAAACAATACTTGTCCACCCTGCCCAATTAATAAATATTCTGAGAAATTTTAT